AATAAACCAGTCATGAGGCCCAACCTTTTGGGGCTCTGTGAATGGCAACGGCCTCTAAAAGATTTTACCTGGGCCTTGTTGGCCGTATAGACTCGTTGAATACATCGGTGTCATATAGAGTAGAGATGTCGAATGGGTCGACTAGCAATAGGGGTGAGCATGGTCCGGGTAGGCGGTACCCACCCTGGAACCGGGAACCGCCCATTGGTTCCATGGATCCACTTGGGAACTGGACCGCCAATCCGATCTGGTTCCCGGGTGGGTCTATGGAACCAGTTCCCAATCTCTATAGATTCACAATCATACTATAAACATGATGGCCAAGTATATTTTCCGAAATTTTCTGCTAACAGAGGCTCAAGTAAGCGCAGAATCACCTAGAGTCACTGTTAGAGCAAGAGCAAAAAGCAACGACAAGCCAAAAACTGACAAGTCTTGAACAAAACTTCAACTTAATTTGAAGCACTCGAGGTTGAAAAATCAAATTTGCCAACAGCAACAAAAAGAATGAGTACCCTTAAGTAGAAAATTTCACTCGGTTGCAAGTCTACTACTCAATGACAAAGTTGAAGGCAAGGCAAGAGCTTGATGCAAGATGTGAGGGATATGTGAGGGAGGGTTGAAGGAGAGGTGTAAGGCGAGAGCAAGATGCGAGATGTGAGGGAGGGCCGGAGGCGAGGCAATTGTACGTTTGCGACGCAGCAATAGAGTTGAAGGCGTGACCACGTGAGACTCTCACGGCGAGAGTGAGATGAGGCTAAAGTTTCTTCTTTTTGTTTCTATTTTGAGGACCGCGAGACGTGAGTAGGACTATAGGATAAATGGCAAAAAGCAAGCGAGAACGATTCACTTTCATTAAAAAGTGAGCTGGAATTTTCTTTAAATATATATATACCAATCCGGTCCGGGTGGGCAAGTGGGCAGTTCCACACTTGGAACCAGACCGGTCTCTATGGGAACCGTTGGTTTTGGGTCGGTTCGGTTCGGTTCGGTTTCGGGCGGTTCCCGGTTTCTAGTTCCTTTGCATATCCATAGCCAACAATGCTCGGCGTTGTAGCAGGCGGTGTCGGCTTGACTTGTTTGTGGAGCGAGCCATGCTTAGGCATGGCCAGACATGTGATCTATTGTTTCGTGCTTGGGCATGCCCATATATTTTAGTGGTCAATGACTACTGATCATGGACCCTTTGGGCCACAAAGGGATTTTCAGCTAAAATTGGCCAGATAGACTTAATTGATAAATTATGAAAATATTTAAGACTTAATTGACATAATTAAAAAGTTTATGACTGAATTTGCAAAAGTGTAATAGGTTTAGGATTTTTTGGACAATTTTCCCTACAAATAAATGGGAAAAAATGACATGTATTAGGCTAAACCATCCTGATCCACGGGCCCGGGCATGGCCCATAACATGGGCCTCATACTATGCTAGGCCAACGCGATGTGTTCGGCCATCTCGGCACGCCCCCAACACATTAATCTGGGCTGGCCCGGCCCATTTCGCACCCCTAGCTGTCAAATTGGTGCAGCCACGACAACAGGCAATATGAAACGAAAATTTTTGAGTGGTTATTATTAACCATATCTTGATGCAAAATAATTAATTATTAGCGCACACGAAAATTTGAGCATTTATACTTTTGTTCCCTGTTAGAAATACTTTTCATTATCGAAAAACAATACAAGCAAATATGACGAGTTCTCACAACCACTCAAAATGGCCCTTTTACAAGTATCAGAGCCGTCACGTGGTGAGGAGCAATAAGTTATTCTATTCAAAAGATGCCTTAAACAATCAGTGGCAAATGGTATATTCGAGGGCGTCTTACACACCACACCGATCTCCATTTTACATGACGAGTCCCTTTCATCTCAAGCACGATAAATAATCATATGAGCACACGAGGGTTGATACTTTCCCTCGGTAGCCTCGAGGCGAAAGCACGAATCCGACAATTCGAACTCGAGATTCAAATCTAGAAAAGACAGATCGCAGAAAATGAACGCGAACGGCTCGTGCCATCTTTAGAGAAACCAAACACGCAACGGATATTCCGAAAGACCAAACGAGCGAAAGGGTCTAGATGCTCATCCCGTGCTCCAAAGCTAATCGAAAGTCCATGTCCTATCCGGCGCTCAAATTTGAACCAGACGCAAACGAAAACGACAATGAAGGTGGCAATCCTTCAACGACAGCGAGATCATGGCAATTATGGGTGATGTTGCTGACAAATGCAAGTGAGGACAAAGGCTGGACATTGGTCGGAAACATCATCTGGGTGAGACTAATGACAAGGCCCCGCGGTCCCTCTCAATCTCGTCTGGTGGCCGCCGGTGGCTTTGGCCCCTCGTTGTGGCGTCCGGTGAAAGACGATGTAGCCCCACAAGTGTTCACTGCGATCGCGAAAGTGTGGATGCCCTGACATTTTTGGTGCCTGAAGAAGGATAGAGAGTGTGCATTGAGCGAGAATGCCCGAAAGCCGAGTTTTATGTGGTGCAACGTTGTCCCGTTGAGAGACAAATCGCCGATGGTCCCTTTCCTGGGTATGCCTGTGTGGTTGTCATTATGTGGTGTGAGGGCATTGTAGAGGCGACAGTTGCCCTAACCCGCATCCGGATGAAAACAGGTCAATTTTAGCTATTAATCATGCGAGTTTTGCGTGAGTTGCCCAAAAGCCGAGTTTTATGTGGTCCAATGTCCCCATCGAGAGACGAATATCCGAAAATCCTTTTTTGGGTACGCTCCTGTGGTTGTATAGGCGCTATTGTGCCTTTCTTATCTGAAAAACTAGTTTAAAGGATGAGACTTTCCCTCACACTTATAGACTGACCATCAATTTCTTCCACAACCGATACAGGATAACCCCAATAATCTCCCCCTCACGCATTGGGCCCTAGATCGAAGCAGCAACAACGTATCTATCGTGTGAACGTTGGGTTCAAACTTATTACTAACTTGAGCTTTGATACCATGTGAGATTTTTTGGAAATCACTGCAACCGTTTTAAAACCTTAAGCTAACGAGATTTAAATATTTAAATATTCCATCAGTATAGGTGACAGTTGCCTGGACCAAAATCCACGTGGGAATGGGTCAATCTCAGCCATTAATCACACGAGTTTTTGCGTGAGCTCAACTTATGAGATTTTCACTATCATCGATCGAATTGTACTTGATCTATAGATTCAAGTCGAAACAAGTTTTTGTTTTTCAGTCCTAGAGACCAAGTAAAGCTTCGCTTGTGCTCCGTGTAAAGCTCTATTTACGGTCAATAGCGGTGGGCTTAAACTAAAGTAACGTCCTAACATCCCTTGTTTAGGAGCAGTAATAAGAGAATTAGGTGGGCAACCTAAGCAGCTAGTCTCATCAAAAGCATGCGCAATGCAACAAATCACCGGCATCTTCCGAACTACTGTTTGGCAAGAATTAGGGAATTCTTGTCCCTTAAGATTGCCTTGACCAATGAAATCCAATTTCCCCCTCTTCTGCCATGAGCGACTGAGCTTTGGCTTTTCGTGCATTCCAGGCACCAGCAAGATATATTGTCAAGCAAGTACACGACACTCAAAGAGTAACAACTTGTAGGCTGAGGACAATCCAATTAATATGCAAAAAAGGTCTTATTAATGAGTGCTCAGTGGGTTCTTAAAACCATGCTTAATAAGGAAATCTTTTTTATTTTCAATGCGCTGATTATATATAATACGAGGGAAAAAGTGCACTAAGAATAATAAGTTTCTCTATTTGGGTATTTGACAACTGCTCTATGGACACTTATTAACAAAATTCGTGAAGTTAATATGTGATGAGAAATAGGTGCAACGAAAGTTGTCGAAAAGGCGGAAAGCTTCTCCTCACCGTCTCAATACGCATGACAAAATAGCAAATCTTCGAACAGTTCCAACTTCAGTACCCGTTTCTTTAGTTCCGCAGGTTCCACACTATCAAGTCTCCATGTCACATTGCTGGAGGAAGAGAATACTTCAGTAGTCCGTGAGCACCATCCAAATTACTAAAACGCGGTCTAAGAATTCGGAACTACATCGCCCCACGATTCGATTGGCAAAAGTCAGAGCTGTTGCAATGACAACCTCGATTGGCAAAAGTCAGAGCTGTTGCAATGACAACCTCGAGTCGGCCTGTTCAGATCGAGCTAAATGGAAGAACTTTGGTTTCGTCTACAGGTGAATTGGCAAAAGTTTTTGGAGCGAAACGAAATCTTCCCTCATTTGGGAGGGCGAATTGGTATTCCCAAACAAATAGGGGGGTCTAACTGCAAGGAACTAGCCAGCAATGAACGAAGGAATATGCCCGGAAAAAGAGTATTCCCCTGAACCCACAGACCAAAACAGGTGCAGACAGCAAAAGCTTGACCAGCAAACTGCTAAGCACTTAACACGTGCCTTCTTGTTCCCTACAATCTCTGTAGCTATCTCTATCTCCGTGGGACTTTTTGAAAGGCGGAACAAACAGCAGCAGAAGAAGAATCTAATAGTGGGTATGTGCGAGAATTCTGGGGGAGAGTTTGGTTTTTCTTAGATGGGGTGTTATGATTTTCTTGTTTTTTTCCTTTCCATGTAAAAATTTCTTGGTTGAATGTTAATGGGTGTTGCCAAAATTCCATTTTGTCTTTCGAAAGACCATTTAATCCTCACCCAACAAGTTCCTTAAATGGTGGGGTCATTGAACGAACTCCGATCTACAACCCGAATTCAAAGAGGATCTGGCTCATGCATGCCCAGGATCAAAGAGGAATTGGCTAAGGAGAGAGCAAGAACAGAAGCTGCAACTCGAGAGCATTGCATTGCATTGCATTCATGTCGTCTCTGGTTTTTTGGCTGTTCTAACCAACAAGATTATGTACAATTAATTACAACCTCAAATACCAAATAAGCTCCCAAAGATAAAATTTACACTGCTGATCCTGAGTCACCGCCGAGCTATTATTATCGCACGAATTACGCAGCTACCACCAGGCTTCTGGCTCCACGTTACACCTACCACACAGCACAGCCTGAGCTGTCCCTCCTTCCGCTGCCGCATCTGCTCTCGTCCCACAGCCTCACCACCGCCCCGTTTATCACCCCCGTGTCCTGACACCTGTACCACCACATCTCCCCGTTCCTCGCCTTCAACACTCTCTCCCAGCTCTCCCACCACTCTCCTCCCCCGCAAGAACCGCCCTCCCCGGCGGCGTCCTCCTCCTCCCCCTCCTCCACCGCCGCGGCGGCCGACGCCGCCTCGCGCTCGCGTTCGCCGTCGTCCTTGTAGTAGGCGGTGAACTTCGTCCTCCCTCTCGTCACTCCGTCGCCCAGCTCGCTCCCCGGATAGCCGGCCGACGTCGAGGCCGCGCCCGAATCATCGGCGGCCGCCGGTACGGATCTCTCGGCGACATCGGCCAGTCGCCTCTCCGGGATCGGCCCGTCCCCGCTGGACCTGCTGATCGCGCCGCCATCGCCGCGCGGCTCGCGACGTCGCCGGACGGCGGAGGAGCCGGCGGCGGCGGCCCTGATGCTCCACACGCTGACGGCGGCGGTCACGACGGCCACCAGCGTCCAGAGGTTGCTGGCCACCGTGAACAGCCCGAAGCTCACGTACTGGAACGCGAGCGCCTCGACCCTGGAATCTATGGCGTCGTTCATCGCGTCTCTTCTTCTTCTCCGATCGCCGAGTCCGGCGCGGCGGCGGCGGCGGTGGCGGCGGCGGTTTCTCTCTCTGTGGGAGTGAAGAGAGATGGGCGAGCGATGAGCACGAGGTTTGGGGAAGGGCCGAGGGTGGGTATATATAGGGTGCAGGGGAGAGAGAAGGGGGCCGAGGAACGCGAGCCGTCGGATGGAGCAAGTGGGGATAGGATCTGATGGAAGATGCCGAGAATCGAGAGGCGAGATGCCAATTGCGAAGGTAGATGCGGGCGGGGGCAGCCATACTACACCGGATTTGTGCGCGAGATCTTGACGGACACGTGTGGCCCGGTGAGTGGCCCGTGGGTTGGTTCGATGGCGGACGCACCTGATGCTGACCCACCTAGTAATGCGTCCGAACATCAGACTGTGCTCGCGTGTGCGCGCGTGTGCGCGAGGTGTCATACGTACGAACAGCCGGAAATGGCTACTGGGGGTGGGGCCCAGCAGTTGATGATCATGATGCGTCCGCCGCAACACGTTATAAATGAAAGGGTAGTGTGGGAATTTTGAGCAGTCGGTGCTCTAGAGGCTCTTTGATATTCGCCGTTTGATCGGATCGTAAATTAATACGCGTGCGTCATCCCTACGTTTGGATCCGTCTAGGCATTCGAGCGAATGCCAGCATCCTCGAGAACTTCTTTCTCTAAAATTTTCTTCCATGGGGTCCGTCTATTTAAAAGGAAAATTATTTTTGGAAAACCATTTCCCAACTTTTCTGTGCTTGAACAACGGACAACTAATTGATTCATGGAAGGTGTTTTTTAATGAATTGAAAACAATAAATTTAAATTGAGAGAGGAGAATCACTTTTCCTAAATCACCAAACAAATAAAAACTAACTATTTTCCTTGAAAATGATTTTTATGTAAAATATTTTCTGTGATCATAAAATTTCAAGTATAACAAGCGCACCCTTAATGTGAATTTGTGAGTGAGAGCATATAAGGCTGGCTTGGACAAAAAAAGCAAATCGAGGTTTGTGATTTAAAGTTTCGGCCCATGACATATGAACGGTCAGAACGTTGGCGACCGTACAATTTAAAAAAAAACCCTCGTTAGTAAATATCCTTAATACACGCGATGCAACGTCTGTTAGGAATGCTCTATAAATGAACTTAATCATTGATGGTGTAATTGGATTGAGAAATGTAAACTAAGTCAATTATGGAGCATTGTTTAATGGAGTAGCTCGTATGTTCAACTGGGTCCCACTTGATTATCTTAATGGACTTTATCTTTTCATTGGTTAGGGATATGCGATAGTGTCCGAGGAAGAATCCCTGAGCCACCTAAAAAAACCAGAAAGAAGCACGTCATCCAGCATTAATCAACAGACGGCACAATCATCAAGCACGAGGAATAATCTCGCCTTAAATTTGCATCAGTCCTTCATTTTAGCAACCTCACCTCTTACATTCGTCCATACGTTAAATGATGGCAGAGCTACGTAACATCAATCCCCATTTTTTTATTTTTTTATTAATGAACCGTCAGATTTCTTTCACATGCCGCGTCATATGAAATGTTCAATAAAATCCCAAAATTATAAACAAAAAATGTTCGCATTCCAACCCTTTGCTTAGCATAGAATGGAGAAAATATTCGGTGATTTCATTTTAGGGATAATGACATAAATAGTCCATGAACTTTGATTCAATATGCAATTTGGTCCATGAATTTTTAATTTATTTACTATAATCCCTGAACTTTAGTCTAATGTTCAATTTGGTCCCTGAATATATTGAACATGTTCATATAGTTCATTGACTAAATTGAACATGTATCAAAAGTCAAGGGACCATATTGAATAAATTAAAAGTTCAGATGCCAAATTGAACATTAGGTTAAAGTTCAGGGACCACATTGCTTATTGGGCCAAAGTTCAATGACTGTTTGTATCATTTTTCCTTCTTTTTATCACGTCATCGGTTGACGTGACATGTATTTCTGTGCTTTTATTCAATTACAACTTGACACATATATATTGATGTGGAATTAAATATAAAAAATTAAAAATCTGCTTAGACGACCACCGGCGCCTCCACCTCTGTCACTAGTATCGCGTCCAGGCAAACGCTACTGCGCGTCCAAATCAAGCCACCCTATTCATCATTTTTGGTTGGCATCATCTTAATCCGTGCATCTTCGACGGCTTCGTCTTCCTCTTTTTTTTTCGAGCTTTGTAGCCGTAGCAACTTGTCCATCGCTGTCGATATCTGCCTTTTAATTTGCTGTGTAGTCTCGTAGCCATGGATGAGCCGTCATCACCAAATTTGGAGGCACAATTCCAGATCTAGAGCAGTGGCGTCACCGACCATGGACGAGCAAGGCTCGTGTCTGTGAACAAGCCACCTCGCCGATCATGCACCGGCGGCGTCATCAGCGAGATCCGTGTGGCTCCGCCTTCCTGCCTTCACTATGGCTCCAGATCTGGTCGGCCAAATCTGATTTGCGGCAACAAAGGTGGAGGGAGGGAACTCGCAGCTAGGCGTGGCGCCATGACAAGGTCAATGGCTTGTGGGTGGAGATCGTGGCGGAGCGTGGCTGTGATTAGATATGAGCGGGCGGAGTGTTGGCTGTGAAGCCTCAAACGAAGATAATTTATCTGAAGATACGAAATAAGCTAGAGGGATTTTTCACTTGACTATACCAAGGTACAGGCTCCGGCAACCAAACACACGGTAAGTAACTGTATATTTCGATCACTTACTATGTTAAATCAACAACTTTGATAGCAAAAGGAGGTCTTCGGCAACCAAATAGAGACAATTTCCAGCACCGACCAAAATAGTTGGTCGGGAGAGACATTCTCCGGCTAAAAATTCAGTTGTTAAATACTGTGCCGACCGACCTTTGGCGATTGATTTCTCGTGACCAATTTCTAGCCTTTTGAGATCAAAGGTTTTTGATGCAACATAGCAGTTTCATTGCAGTGTCAGCATATTTGTCATGGCGTGGCCATAACTTAGGCTGGTCGGTTTCTCGGCGATGTAATTTGCATATTTGAATTCGATGTTACTATTCATATTTCTCATCTATATTCAAACTCTCGCGTTATCCTATTAAAACCCTTGTATATCTGAGTAAACTGTGCAATACGTAAAATCATGCATGGCATGGTTAGTTTGGACCGTTTTGGTTATTATGGAGCAAAAGTCGGTCCAAATAAGGACATCTAGGGTTCCTGGTCTAGTACAAATGACAGGATCCTATTTTCATTGCTAAAAGAAAAGGAACATGGGTTGGTCGGGAAAGAAATGAAACTAGAGACCTATTCTTCTATATAAGATGTGCGACTCTTGAGTTCCATTTAACAGAACTTTCACTTGGTCTGCGCTCAAAGGGAAAATTGTCAAGAAAGTCCTAAACCTATTGCACTTTTACCAATTCAGTCCTAAACCTTTTCACTTCTTGCCAATTCAATCCATTTGTCCGGCCGGCACTGACATGGCCGCCGGCCGTCCGGCCAACGCTGACGTGGCAATTTTTAAATATTTTTTTCAAATTTTTTAATATTTTTTTCTGCCTATTCCCTCTGGCCGGTCCGGCCATCGGCGACCTGCCAGAGGCGCGGGCCGGCGAGGTTGACACCGTCGGCCTCTGGCGAAGCTCGCCCGCCGCTGCGAGGCCGGCCTCGCCATGGCTGGGCGAGGCTGGCCTCGCCGTCGCTGGGTATCGCGGCGGCGAGTGAAACCCAACGACGGCGAGGTCGGCCTCACCATGGCTAGGCGAGGTCGAAACCCAGCGACGGCGAGGTCGGCCTCGCCATGGCTGGGCGAGGCCGGGCTAGCCTCGGTTGGGCGAGGCTCGACCTCGCCGGATCTGGGCGAGGTCGAGCCTTGCCCAGCCATGGTGAGCCCGGCCTCAGAGCGGCAGGTGAGGCTCGCCTTGGCCGGTGGTCGGCAGGGGTGAGCTTCGCCAGAGGCCGGCGAGGCCGCGCCTCTGGCCGTTCGCCGGTCGCTGGACAGGCCAGAGGGAAAATGTTGAAAAAAATATTAAAAAATTCGAAAAAATATTTAAAAATTGTCACGTTAGCATTGGCCGGACGGCCACGTTAGCGCCGGACGGGTGGCCACGTCAGCACCGGCCGGCAAAATGGACCCAATTGGCAAGAAGTGAAAAGGTTTATGACTGAATTGGAAAGAAGTGAAAAGGTTTAGGACTGAATTGGCAAACTTAAAAGGTTTAGGACAGAATTGGCAAAAGTGCAATAGGTTTAGGACTTTTTTAACAATTTTCCCGAGCTCAAATGGAAATCTCAATTGAAAAACTCTAGGGGGTGAACAAGTTTCAAAGTCTATCTAGAATTGACCTTCTGATTTTGCATCCATGATTGATTCGGTAAAACTAGAACCGAAGCTTAACATAGGAACGTCGATGCAACCTATCACAGTTCTTTGGTCTCCTACCACCTATTAGATTAAGATTTTGGATTGGACTTTCTTATAGCACTTTGGTTATCGCAATGAATGATTGTTCTGCTATGATGACGCACCAAGCACATTGAAATAAATTGTCATTTCATCCGATATCATGTTCTTCATGTCACCATTCGACTTGTCTCCACTTCATCCGCTGAATGGACTGTCGATGTCTTCACTGAAACATATCCACCTAGGCATTTTCTATATCTATTCTCTCAAACTCAATCATCTTGAGTTCGAGAAAATGTTAGAGATATATTTAGGACTTGATTATACTTTGTAAAAGTTTTAGGTCAATTGCACTTTTGTGATAAGTTTTAGGACTTTCAATACACTTATCCCTTTAATTTAATAGAACTTTTACTTGGTTTGCGCTCAAAGGAGAATCTCAATTGAAAAACACTCTGCAGAAAGAAGGGAAAGAGAGAGAGATGAACAAGTTTCAAAGTCTATCTAGGATTGACCTTCTGACTTTTGCATTCGTGCTCAATCCGTTATACCTAGAACCGAAGGTCAACATAGGAACGCCCACAT